CCTCGGTTTGGGTCTGGATAACTGGGACTAGTTCTAGACTGGCGAGAGTACCGTCTTCTTGCCAACAGGACTACTTGTCCAGTTCCGCCGCAGCGCATTTCCAGCTCGCGCACCCCACTTGCATGCAATCAGCAAGCTAATACATGAGACCGTGACATCCAGCATGCACGCATGCACGAGCACCAGCTTATGCAACTAAGGTTACATCGCCATCGAGCATGACAACCCAATCGATATGTAAGATAGTCAGATAGTCCTCATGACGGTTAAGCAAACGATGCCTGCGAAGGTCCGAACCGCACCTCAGAAGCTGGAGCCCCAGGAGTGACGCCGCTTCAGGCGGATCGCGTGCTAGCAACATGCCCAGGACAGCCGTAACTTTGTGGACGGCGAAAGCCGAGCAGTGGAGGCAGAGCAAAGCCACCTCGAGCAGAGTTCATGTGTGTAACGCGAAGGTGCGCGGCAACACCCATATTGGAACCGTGGCCAAAGAAGCCACCGTAACCAAATGGGACACCGGTCCGGGCCTGTCAGGCAGCAGAGCCGAAGACAAAGTGCTGGAAGCGCTCTTGACTAAGGTACCTCCTACAAGATCATTTGTGGTGATCGCCTGCTGAAGGGCAACGAGCGCGTCTCGACCCTGCAGCAAGGCATCATGCTGATCAGGCTGCCGCAGTCCAGAGCCCAAGTCAAAGGCCTCGGATTGCAAGTTGTGGCGACTGCAGGATCGCCGCCACAAACGCGTCCAGCCACAGCGAGGAGGACCTGGAAGGGCTGGTTCAGCAGGCTGGCATCCCACCAAGCGAGTCGCAGCAGCCGGCACCAAGTCTGAACCCAGATCAACCAGCTACTCGACAACCCATAGCCGGACGCGCCACACGCTCAGCCCACAGCAGCCAAGCGAAACAGCCGAAGCTCGTAGCAACCAACACTCACAGTAGCCATAATGCGAGCTGCCACTCACCCACCGAGGTCCGCAGCCACAACCCCTCAAAGAGATGGTGGGAAGGACCAGCTGCCGGCGAAGCGCGGTCCGCGCCCGGAAAAAAAGAGGGAGAGTGGTCAGGGCGAGCCGCAATGATTAAGCGCACATGAAAACGTCACGCTGAAACTAAGCCAAGTAAGAGCCAGAACCCAGGGTTCCAGGACAGTCTAAGTTCGTTAACATGGTAGTCGGTGGCGTTCAAAAACCCCTGGGAGGGGAACAGCTTCAGTGCCTTTCCAAGGAAAGGTCGAAGTGTCAGAGCAACTCGCAAGTCTGGAGCCAAGCCCTTTAGGCTCTGAGCGTCAGGGGAAAAACAGCAAAAGAAGAAAAAAAGGGAAAGAAGTGGAGGAAAGAAGAAGTTGGCATCTGACCGTGCGACCAATGAGAAGCATCTCCAAAGGAAAAAGACTTGAAGTTTGAAACAGGAGCGCCAGCCCCATAAGCGAGAACTTTAAGATTCCGGAGAAGGAACTTGGCCGAGCTAACGCAACATGTGAAGCGTTGCCAAGAAGCGACGGGTTCAGACGAGAGAGTGAGAGCCCCAAAACCGAGAAGCTCAAGAAATCCGAGTAAGAAGTTCAGCTAACAGGGCACTGCTGTGCCCGCGCCTGCATTGCAAGACTTCGCATCAGCCCAGAAAGAAAAAACAAAACAGACCGGCAAAGCGACGCATCGGCAAGTCGCACCGACCAAAATCAAGAAGGTCACACGAAAAAGAAAAAAGAATCACTTCGCTTTCCCGTGCCTGTTGCACAACCTTTGGTCTTTACCCCCACAAAACAGTTCACTCCGATGGTAGACGGCACGGGCCTCGAGCACTACCATCAACACAAAAGGGGTAGTGGTTCTGCAATAGTGAGGGCTAGGTGTAGGGAGAGAACTCCATGTACGTCCGTTTGTAGCCTGCCGGTTCCAGCGAGACTGTTCATGCAGCAAGACCTTCACATGAGCACGAGGCTCTGCACAGACACGGACACCACCAAACATGATGCGAGACATGTCACTCAGATGCAGAACGATACCAGGAATGTCTGTAAGTAATGACTACCTAAAACCAGGTTAACCGCTCAGCAGAAGTCGAGCCAGAGTGTAGCTCCAAGCCTCTCACGCCGAAGCATCTAGATGGCGCCACCCTTAGCTTAGATCAGCAGCCAGCATGTGCCGTCTAAAGCCTGTAACCAAAGCGCCGGCCGAGGTCGTGGAGAAGAGGAAGCGCGTCGCAGAAGCGCCGAGATTCCCAGGAAACGACGGCGACGTCAGCGCTCCCACATCCAGCAGCCAAAGACCCAAATTGGCAGGCGCGCCACGAAGGTCAAGATCTACCTGGGCCTGAACGGCGACTTCGTGGAGGTGCAGGCTGAGCCCAGGCGTTCTGCTGTCACCAACGTCGTCGCACATGAGCCAGGTAGACCCCACCGAGACGGTGCACACCACCGTCGGGGAATGGCGCCCCAAACCTACACTCGAACAAACCAGCGACAGTAGCGCCCCCCGCCACCCCTTTGAACTCAGGACGGCTCCGTGAAGACCTCCAGCTAGTGGTCACGGACAAAAAGAGCGGCGAGGTGCTAAAACCCAGGGAGCCCATCGGGCCATCCTGCCGCGCTTGCATAGTTGTGGTTCCGACAGCATCGCAGAAACGCAAACAAAACCCGTCTCTAGATGCCGGACCAGGAAGCACCCGGAAACGCAAGTGATACTCGTCCGCGACCACTCGGGAAGTGACCCTGAGCAGCAGCCCCGGGTGCACTACACTCTACACGAGCCTTGCTGAATACCGATTTGCAGTCTCCCCGCTCAGGTGGTTTTCTCCGACAGAAAATCCAGCGAGGAATCAGAGTCGCGCCCTCAGCAAGAGACCTAGCTTGTGGACCGAACGGCGGAAGCAGACATGGTCCGGATAAGGTTGGAAGCATCCGTCCGTCCCTCAGATTGTACACGGCATCCAGACCGAACATCCTGATGTAACCCTGACAGGACAGGACGGCGCCAGCCCGCACGTCCCAAGCGGACTGAGCCGGCAAGACACGCGGCAAGCGATGCGCGGACCCTGCAAAAAATGATTCGGACCGAAGTCGAGAGCTTTTGTTTCGCGTCCTAAGGCATAGGAAACGCAGCAACAAAGCAACATCCGAAAGACAGCAAAAGCAAAACCAACAATCAAGCAACCAGAGAGCGCAAAGCCGAACTAGAGGTAATCCAAGCAGGAACTGCAAGACAGAGGTTATCCTACCGTGTCCATCAAAACAAAGTGCCCAGGGTTGCAACCAAGTCGTTTGTTTCGAGAACTTCCACTCTAAGCCGGCAAAATGCTCAGCAACAGCGCCTATAAATTCCCTGGGTAGGGAACAGCTCCGGCGCCTTTCCGAGGAAAGGTCGAGTTGTCAGAGCAACTCGCAAGTCTGGAGCCAAGCCCTTTAGGCTCTGAGCGTCAGGGAAGAAAGCAGCAATGAGGAGAACGTCATCCCGTCCGTCAGCCCGAGCTAAAGCTGCGAGCAGGGATGAGACAGGCGTCAAGTCACGCACACTGTCCCGTGCACCGACTTGCTGTGTTGCCAGGTCCGCGTGGATCCACGGTGCGGCGGACAACGCGAGGGACGCACCGCACACACACCGTGGGAGCCTCAGCAACAGCAGCAGGAGTGCCACTCGATGCCGAAAACTGCAAAGGTCGAGACTCACAAGAAACAGGAACTCGGCCGACCGCAGCTCATACCGGCTCCAGGGAGCAAGCCACCTGCGCCGGCAGAGCTCCAGCATGGGCATCGGAACGTCGGCGGAGCAGCGGCCACAGCGATGTTTGAACAGCATCCTTGCTCAACAACTCCTCCCGCTCAACTCCCACAGCCATCAGGACCTCGACCATCCAGCCAAGCGACGCAGATGCCGCGCCCCGCACTCAAAGCGAGAAACATGCTAGCCGGAGACGCCAGGCAGATTACTAAGACACCAGGCTGGACGACTACGAAGACATGATCGCCACGATAAAGGGATGTGGCAGAGGCCAGCAATCTCCCAGGCCGGAGAGATCCGGTCGTGGTGAAGGCCCGAGCCGGAAGGTTTCTGGGACTTTCGGACCGCTGGATCCTTGCCATTCCTTGCCTGCACCTTGGAAAGCCAGGTGACCAGGGGCTGCCTGGCTGCATGCTGGCGATGCTGGTGTCGTTTTTGTTTGCAGGCATGTGTCCTTTCGCAATTGCTCAGTTCATCAGCCCGTTGTGGGCGGCCGCCCTCCTTTTGCCTGGGGCCCTGCATCCTGCGTAGCACAATGTAGCGCGGCAGTGAGGTCTCAGATTGAACCAAAAAACCGAGGCGCCTTTCGTCCCAGCCCGCGTGCACAACACCCCGAAGAGCCCGGCCCTCGAAGTGCACCCGAAGCTTTGTTCCAACAACTGTATCCATGAGGTTAGGCCGGGGCCTGCTCAGGCTCTGCAAACTCCCGGCCCGCATAACCCAACTTACAGCCTTACGTGTGTAAGGCAGCCCAAGTCGTCACTGACTCAGATCAGCTTGATTCAACCCTGAAACCCAAAGCAAAGTCTCAAGATCCCAAAGCTCAAGCTCTCAATCCGTGGACGTCAACATGAACCGTAAATCCAATACACCGCAAGCGGTTGTAGAGCTCCACCCTAAAACAGTATCGTGGTGGACCTTGCCAGGCTTGTCCGAGTGTGAGTGTCAAAAAAAAAACTGAAAATCCAATCGAGAGAATTCTAGAACAATGAAACCCGAGCACGCGTCCCGGAGTTTCAAGTCCCAAGCTCACTTTGAACGCTGCAAAGCTGCAGGTGGAGAAGCCACCTGCTATTGTGCCTGCACCGGCGGCGTGTTGGGCTTGGGCATTTCAGGACATCCATGGATTTTCTCAGGTTTGCTAGCCTGGCGCCATCCTTACCAGGTCCCTGCCAAACCTTCTGACGAGCCGAGTCAGACAAGAGGCAGCATCCCAGGCCGGATTTGACAGCTCTGTTGGAGCAGTGCTGGGATGCGAGATTTTCGGATCGTTGATCTTTGGATGTTCGGCAGGCTGAGGGCGATGCCCTCAAGAGAGAGCTCGCAGACTCTCAGGCTGCCACTTGGGATGTACAGCGGCTCTACCTTCCCGCCCTTCTGATTCTGCCCTGCAGGAGGAGTTACGAGCACTGCGAAGAAAATACGAGGCGCCGTTGTCTGATGAGACTAAGCCGTGAGTAAGCCCTGTGAAGCAAGACTTCATCATCGTCTCGCATTGGCTGACGCTGGTCAAGCGCGCGCAGCACATGCTGAAGCGTAGATGCTGCTGTTAACTTAGACAGAGGCAGTGGTGACACAGCAAAGTGCTGTAGGCTGTAGGTCTTGTCTGGAGGCATGTAGCCCGCGCAAAGCAGCAGGCAAGTGTCGCTGCTGAGAAAGAGCGCTTTCAGGAAGATCTGAAGGCGGGAGTTCCGCAGCCAGTGGTGGATCGGAAGGGCTTTGGGTTTAGAGTTTACAAGCCTTCCCCCACGGTGCTTTGACTCATGGCAGGCGGAGCTTCGCCGCGCAGGGGAGGCTGAGGCGCGACTTCCGGGACTGCAGTCTTGGCAGGCCGGCATGAGAGGATCGTGACCGCAACGCAGGCGAAACTGGCCATGGCCGAGAATGCGAAGGAAGAGGCACGCGCCCCACATCAGCGCAAGCAACCAACAGCGTAAGCAACCAAAAGCTGCCCACCCACCGTCCAAACCACACCCCATCACCGCAAGCAACCTCTCACATGCCCCATCGACGCAAGCAACCGAAAGCCGCCCCCAACCGTCCAATCTGACACGCCCCGCGCACCCCATCAGCGTAAGCACCCTGCGACCCGAAACTGGGGCGGGGCAGGGGGGGAAGTTAAGCTGGGCTTTCCAATCCCAGCATTGTGGAGCAGAAAAACAGGGTCGGGGGCAGGCGGGGGAGGGGGGGTTGGCAAACCAGAGTTGTCCCACCCTCCACCACCCACATCAGTGTATGCAACCGACCCCAAAATCCGCCAGGCCCTTTTTTGAGGACTAGCCCGAAAACCGAGAATGCTCGCTCCGGTCATTTGGGAATTTCAAAGGGCCCCATGTCTGGAAGCAAACCTCCACTCACGAGATGCATCCGGAACCCAGCCCCAGCTGCATTTCGAAATACGAGTATGGATGCTAGATGCGGTTGGCCACCACAGTCGATGTCCTAGGTCCTAGATCTTGATCTAGGGTGGCTTCGTTCGGGAACAAATCCCAAAAGGATCCGCAAAAGAAGTGGAAACCAACAAGCTGTTCATGGCAAGGTCCAGCAGTTGCCACTCGCATCATCTGGTACAGTCTCCCGTCACCTGCTTGTACCATGTCCTCCCCCATGCGTTCATGAAAGCAGTGCCGCGATGTGTCACGCTCCTGTGAACTGCCACTGTGTGAAGGATCAAAAAGAAATCCAAGAAGCTACGCTGGAGACTAGCACGGTGCAGCATTATCATAATACGTCCTGTCTTTGTCTTGGGTAATTATTTGTCGCAGTGCCGTCAGTACGTGGGTGTCCGGGTGCCTCCCAAAAAACCATGACAAGCAGGCAGCGATGCAAGCACATGAGCAGACCTTGCAGGCTGGGGCAGACGGTGGCAGCGTATCAGAAGGCCTGCGCTGTCTGTCGTCCCTTTGGTAGGAGCAGCGGGTGGAGTACGAGAGTATATGAGAGTATGCCCGAGGACGGCGGAGCAGTTCTTGCAACCTGCGGTGCCGTCGGTGCTTTGACTCATGGCAGGTGGAGCGTGGCCGCGCAGAGTTGGAACATGGCCGTCGTCAGCAGGCTGAGGCGCGCCTTCCGGGAGCCATGAGAGGGAGCGTGCCCACGTGTGACTGCCACGCAGGCTAAACTTGCCGTGGCCTTGGAGGCCCATGAGCAGAAATTGGAGGAAATGCAGGTCCGCAGCAGAAGTCGTTTTAGGAAATGTTAGATTGTAAGTTTGCGCTCTTTTTTGGCGTGAGGCCGAAATCCGGAAGTTGCATGCTGAGCAGGAGAAGGTTCGGGGCTTGGGCAGCGGATGTTGTGTCCCATGATTTTCCAGAGCTCTCGCCAGTTTTCCGTGTTCTCCATCTCGGACTCGGAGCTCGCTGCAGAGGCAGAGACAGCCGCCGCCGACTCTGCCGTGGTTTACTCGCATGGAGCCTTCTGCCTCCGCTAGGCCAGCAGCTCCACGCGGCCCGACGCGGCCGAGACGCAGCCTTCCTTCCGGGTCGGCGGCCAAACATCAGGAGCAGGAGTAGTGCGTGGCAGCAGCCGCCTGCTGTGGATCCTGCTATACTCGCATGCCACTACGGCCTCCTCCCAGGCAAGTAGCTCCACGCGGCAGATCGCGCAGCTGCCACCAGTCAGCACGCAGACGCACGACGCTGGTGAGATGCCACACGGTCTGATTACCGGGTCGGCGGCCAAGTTCAGAATGGGCACCTTATTGGGAGCAGTGCGGAGCCGTCGCCCTCGAACTGCCACGGCTCAGGACATCACCTGCTGGCAGGATGCTGGTGTCTACGGGCCGAAGGCGGCGCAGCTGCGGGCGGGCCGCAGGGCTGTATTGCCGTACCCGTGCCGACAGGATGAGACGTCCAAGCAGGAGCAGGCCGAGCGCGTGCAGGAGCCTGGCGCTGAACGCGTTTGCACCTCAGATGTGTGAGCCAAGTCATGCTGTGAACTTCACGCGCAGGAAGTCCGAACCCTTTACCGGGCGAAGCATGGACCCCACTCCACTCCGAATGCAGTGGCTTGGCTGCCTATGGATGCACCGTGATGTGGGAGTATAGCTGCCTGCAACGGTGTTGTGTTGCGATGTGTTGCTTGAGTCTCTTCGTGGCATTCGCTGAGACGCAGCTGCTGGAGTTTGCCTGCACCGTGGGCAAGCGCATTATGTTCAGTTGGGTGCGTGAAGAAGCTCCCAAACCTCGAGCAACACTTCAGCTTTGCGGCATCCTGCGGCCATTAACACGCTGGCTGGCAGTGCTGACGACATTTCGTGGCCTTCGCAAAGCAAAAGAGGCATGCAGTTGCACAGCCAGTTGTCATGCGTTATGTCTGATATCAATGCTATCAATATTTAGGGCCCACGAGTCACTAGTCACTAAACTGTCAGTGGGACCAGCTGCTGCACTTGGTGTTGAACCAGGAGATGTCCCCATGGATATTTTCTGATGCACTTG